CTGTGTGAACACACAAAAGTAAAATGTATTAAAAACATCCGTATCAGTATAGTAAACAAGCCTGGAATATTCAGTATATCCCGTTTGATACCGAATCTAGCTGCCAGTTACTGGTCATAGTTTATTTAAATATCGATGTGAAGACATACTGAATAGCTTAATTCTGCTTAATCCACCAACAATATCAAGAATTGATAGCAATTAATCATAAATTATTTCAACCATGTCTTGGCATTTAGTCACAGAGTTAGCCTTGCCCTGACTTAAATCAGCCCAGAGGTTGTTTCAGGGTTTGATCTATGCCTTAACCTTGCCCTCACTTTTCAGCGTGCGATAAAAACGAAAAATGACTTTACGTTCGAGTGTTGCAATAGATGAAACCCTTTTTTGCTTTTGAACATGTTTTATCAATAGGGGCTGTAAATTAAGGATACCGGAAAAGTAGTTGGTTCTTGTCCTTCTATAAATACTCCATTTCTGTACAGTTTGACTACTGGTGTTGGATCTCCCTCAGCGACGCAGTCGATTGTCACATTGCTTCCTAATGTTACTTCTTTTGATGAATCGAGCCTAATTTCTGGTGCTTCTAAAATGGAAAAATGAAAAAAATATTGCTTAAAATACTAAGTATGCCTTTTTAAGCATTAATTTTTCCTGTTCTTGATTGCTGACGGCTAAAGAACTTGGATGTTAAAGCCTGAATGTGTATGAATTTCAAAGTCATTTATAAGGATCATTGATATTTGTAAGGGATCAAGAGGACTATCTATCATTTTATTGGTTGTTCCTGTGATTTCGATTGCTCTATGCCTACAATTAATAATGATAATGATGATGATGGTAAATCACTTACTTAATGAATATACTAAAACCACTGCACTCAGCACGAGGACTAGCTGAGTGTATTCCGATAACAACATCTTCATCGCAAGAATATTGATCCTGTGTGAACACACAAAAGTAAAATATATCAAATATAACAGAACATACTATGACCGGCCATTGTCGCTTGATTAATATTGAGCCTGAGTTCAAGTTTGTAGCGCTTTCTTTGTTAACCGCTTTGTTACCGCCACTCCTATCATTTAAAAACTCTTATTTCACATTATATTACGCACTATATATATATAAATCAATTTACCAACCCTGATGTAAACAAGATAATGTTATCGACTTCTCCTCTGTGTTTCTCTGTCTTTCTCGATATTCACGCGTAAAATACCCTCAAAACTTACGTTAATTCAGAACACAAGAAAAATATTGCAAATATCAACATTTCAATTCCGCAATAGCTATTATTTGTCGAGTCAGAGGGTGAAAAAGTGTCTAGTTAATATTGGCCGTTCTCATGACAATGAGACCAATCAAATCTGGTGATTAATCACAATTTCTACTGACGTGTCACCCGAGGGCATAAATTGTTTTTTTAAGTCAAACTTTCTAGAATATTACGAATTTCAAGCATCTAGTGTCGTTTATATAATTAATCAGTTTTTTTCTCTCTCTCTGAATTATATTTTCCATTGACTGGCATGACTAAGGGGAGCCCTTATCAGACTCTTCATGAATGTTGGCCGTATTTTTCATTCGCAAAACTTTCCAATTCACTTACTCAGTCTGAATATTTTTTACACTTTTAAAGCCTATAGAAAAGTCTTACAGAAAACTCAATTAGTTCATTAAAAGTTTGATGGTGTCAAGCAGCAGCAGTTAGGTGGACTCGCGAATTGCCGGCATTACTAAAAATCACAAGTCGAAAAACACCAGGGGGGGGTGGGGTTTTGGAGGTCGGTAACCCGCGGAACAGGGGGTCTTGCGCGATCCGCCGGCAGCGCGAAATGTCCCTAACTGCTGCTCTGTTGGGTACTGCAAACGGAGGTTAAAATATTTGTCGGATATACGATGCATGAATGTAAGAAGT